ACTATTATATCAACCTATTATGCTAAAGTTATATTTAATCACCTTTGTCTTATGAGTAGTCCAAGACCACCCATACTATAGTCTTGTCTCCTAAAGACTAGCATGAGTGGTCATCTCATGACCACACTTTAGGATTCTTAATATATCCAAAGATATAAAGAACACCTTTCCTTAATATCCCTTTTTCAATCCCTATTAAGTTCTTTTTTGTCCATGGCCATGCTTACCAACATTGCCACTATGTTAAGGCCTGAAGGTTCGACCACTAAGTCCTATTAACTTTTGGGATTTCCTTGCCACATGATTATATCATTGTTCACTACACAAAAAGACTCTAGGATTTTAGAACAACATTTCAAAATACCGTGGCCCAACATGAGCTTTGTGGGTACTTTCCCCACCTTCCACCTCTAGGTGTCTTAGCCATGTAGCTAGAGCGATGTTCTAATGAACTACACTAGATATCCACGTAAGTAATGCCACCCACACTTGGATTGAGAGCATTAGCTATTCAATCTCCCACTCTTGACTTTCTAAATCAAAGTTTTTGGTCCCAATGTATTACACTTGTTTCACTTTATTACCATATGGCACATTTTCAACTCTATTTTGGGGCTTAGGGATTTGTGTCTCACAAATCCTTACTAGGCTAAATATGCTTATTATCCTTATTATATAGATAGATTTCAATAAATAGTTCACTCTAATTTTGGTCAATATTTACCTGGGCATATATGATTATCCTTAGTAGGAGCATTGTCAATGCAAGACAAGCACCTAATAGTCTTCTAGCAATGATATCTATGGATTATGACATAAGTTTACCTCATAGGCTATGGTCTCTAAGTACAATATTTATTAGAAATTTTAAATGCTTCAACATATTTAGTTTTTAAAATTTTCTATTTTCTATAGAAAATATATAATAGATAATGATTCTTTACTTTGGATAATTTTTATAAAACTGTTAAATAATACATTTATTGGTATTGGGATTCTAGATGCTCTTACCTATAGCCTTATAGGAGGGTGTAAGTACTCAACTAATTAATATGGTATAGAGTTTGGGCTTAAACCTAAGTTGGACACAAAACAAAAAGATGATATTAAAAAATATATTAATTATAGAATGGTATTAATTTGTGAATATGGACAAGACATTCTCTATATTCTAAAGATATATTTAATTTACAAGACACTTTCCATAAATAACTAATAGGACAACATCTAAGATATTATAGCAAGTGTCTAATAGATATAATAAGTTCTTTACTATATAGCAATATTAAATTTTTTATTATATAGCAATGTTGTGGGATTAATGCTGAATATGCAAAGGTTCTTATCATTAACCAATGCAAGACACAATAGAACAAAAACTCCTTACTAGGTTAAGTATGCTTACCATCTTTATTCATTATAATTTATTATATGCTTGGGATCTTTAGGTATTTAGATACGAATATCTTGCATTGCTCCAGTGCCGCTTTCAAAATGACCAGCACTGTCAAATCCAGCAAACCAGCGGAGAAATAAACACTTGACAAGAAATCACAAGTTCCTTTTTAAGTTGGGAGGCTTGATTCGCTGGGCAAGACGTCCAACATGAACTTGGCCATGATTGGCTTAAACACACAAGGCCCATCAAGTTTGAATGTGTAAGCGCCGGGATTGACAGATGCTTGATGTAAACCATCCAAGCAAAACAAACAAGTTCACGTCAGGTGCTTAATCCCACTAATATACACCCATGCCAGTGTGTAATCAACCTGGTACAATCCTCAGCTCTTGTAGCGCTGGTGCTTCCACAAAGAATCTTGTTGCTGAGCCAAACGTGGATAGTTTTCTTTAAATAGTTTACCCTAGTTTTGTTTAATATTACCTTGCCAATGCAAGACATACCAGAACCTAATAATCTTTTAGCAATGGCATCTATGGATTACGACTTATGTTTGTGTCATAGGCTTTATGGTCTCTAAATGCAATATTTATTGGAAATTTAAATGTTCCAACACATTTTTTTTTAACTTTTCTATTTTCCACAGAAAATACATAGTAGATAATGATTCCTTATTTTGGATAATATTCACAAAACTATTAAATAATGCACCACAAGAGCAGCATTTGACAGTTGATTTCTTCTTTGATGCTATAAACTGGCATGAAAATGATTGGAGCTTATAATTACCCGCATGCAGTTCATCCTTGATACACTACAGCAAGTCTAGGCCAGCATGACTAGCTGATTTACAAGGATGATGCTATCCTGATAGGAACAAGAAATTGAAAACTTAGTGAAGCCTGTAAGTTCCTTTTCTTCAAGTTTGAATTCAATCAGGTTACCAAAGAAAGATATCCTTTCCTAGTCTCAAAAGATTTGGTACTTCTGACTTTCTGTACAACTTATAGACATAGTTGGTCTTTAAAATTGTGACAGCAGGATGGATTCAACTTTACGTCTGGATGCCCCAGTAAAAATTGCGAGCAGCCTCCAATCCTAGCAAGTTGCAGTATAAAAAGCAACCTCGACTCCCTAACAATTGAAAAGTACAAAGTTCCGTGTGACAAAGTTCTTGGAAAGCTATCCTTGTAAAGTTCCTCCTTTAGAAATTGTATATTTGTCGGTGTATGTGTGATCCAAAGTTGGTGATCATGGCTGCCAGTGTCAATAGCGTGCTCCCGGAGCTCTCCACTCTCTCAAAATTTGAACTCCGTCCATTGCCCTGCGCGTTTCCTTTCGAGTGCCACCCAAATCACGCGTCGCTCACCCGAGAGGTTGACGAGTGGGCGATCCGATCGCTGCAAGCCCGGGGCTCCATGCCCAAGCGCCAGATGATCATCGAGTCCAAGATCTCGGCGGCGGCATGCATGACTATCCCGCGTGGCCGGGACGATCGTAAGATGGTGCTGGCGGGCAAGCATTTGTGGGCGCTCTTCTTGCTGGACGACGCGCTGGAATCTTGCCGGAGCCAGGAGGCCGCGAGAGTCCTCGCCCGGCGAGCGGTGGAAGTCGCGAGAGGGGACCAATTGGAAGGGATGATCCAGGAGGAAAGAGAACTAGAAGAAGCCAAAGGGTTCGCGAGGAAATTCGCGATCCAGGAAGAACAAGGAGATCGATATAATGATCAGTCGAGAGGAATCCCTGCAAAGATACCGATCCAAGAGGACCCTGGTCTCATCGATCTGGCTACCAGAGGAATGGCGACGAAAATCCCAATCACGGAAGAAGATCAAGGTCGCGATGCTCGATGGGCGCTGGGATTGTTCCGGGAAGTAGTGGCGGAGCTCCGGCGATCAATGCCACGCCCGATGTTCGATCGCTACCTGCGGTACCTGGATCGCTACCTGGAGGCCGTGATCCAGGAGGTGGGATACCAGATCGCGGGCCACATCCCGCGGGAGGACGAGTATCGCGAGCTCCGGCGGGGAACGTCCTTCACAGAGGGCACCAGCGCGATCTTTGGCGAGCTGTGCATGGGGCTGGAGCTCCACGAATCTGTGACATCATCTCGCGATTTCATCGAATTCGTGGCGCTCGTCGCGGACCACATCGCGCTCACCAACGATGTCCTCTCCTTCCGCAAGGATTTCTACGCCGGGGTCGCCCACAACTGGCTCGTCGTGCTCCTCCGCCACAGCCACCGCGGGACCGGCTTCCAATCCGCACTGGACAGCGTCTATGGCATGATCCGCGACAGCGAGCGCCGGATCCTGGGGCTCCAGTCGCGAATCGAGGCGCAAGCACTGAAGAGTGGCGATGGTCACCTCCTCAGCTTCGCGCAGGCGTTTCCCCTGTGCCTGGCCGGGAATCGGAGGTGGTCATCGATCACCGCGCGATACCATGGCATTGGGAATCCTCTCATCACTGGCGTGGAGTTCCACGGGACATGGCTCTTACATCCGGATGTCACCATAGTTATTTGATGTACATTTGACTTAAGCCTTGATGTTAATAGTAAACGATCTTCCTAACAACCGTTAACATCCGTTAACAAGTATGGATTATTTTATCATCAACCCACGCCTTTAATTAAACTCTGAAGAGTAGAATTCCATTGTATGATTATTCTAAAGTTGTTAGACTAATTCCTTGATTTTTCTCTCTTGCCTAGTCTCCAATGTCACTTTCTAGAATTGTTAATCCAGCCGGGGCACCTTTCTTGAGCAACTGGAGGAACTCAACTGGCAGACCAACTACCTCAACCAACCCACTCTAAATGTAAAGCACTGCTGGTCTAGTGGTAGAATAGTACCCTGCCACGGTACAGACCCGGGTTCGATTCCCGGGCAGTGCATTTATACTTCTATCATCTTTAAATTAAGAAAATAATGCCTTTCTTAAAGAATTTTATTTTAGATCAATTCCGAAATTTCTCTTCTTATTTGCTGGTGGCTCAGATGAATCCTCTATGAGATCCAAGTTGTCCTCCACAATCGCTACTGGCTGCTTTTTTTCAAACGAGCTTGCTCAGATCTCTGTGTTGATCGCTTAGCATTCTCGCTAGCTCCTGTTCTTGCACGTCTCTTTCTTGTGTTCCACACCAGCTTGTCGAGCCCGCTCCACACGAGCCTTGCCTCATCCTCCAGATTGACAGGCATCTTCTCGAGCAAGATTGTGAAACAATGTTGAAAATCATCATGGGACCCGTCCCGAAGAGGCTTGAGCCAAGCAGCATCAATGAGCATGGTAAAAAAACCACTCCCAGGCATTCGAGCATCTTGAGGTTGCTGGTGACTTTGTCCTCTGCAGCGTTGACCAGCTTGATAATCACTTGCTCCACAACCTTTGCACTACCATTCTGCACTAAAGTCTTTAAAACATCGATCTTTTTCTCTAATCGCTCGTACATTCATTAGTCTTCATATGGCCACCTTTTCTCCTTCATGGGTTGTCTAAAAGATCTACATCCTTACGAATACGAACGAGCATACGATCATATTATCTGACTTCTTTATATACGAATAGGAGATCTGGGAATTTTTTCTACAAGCACATTCTAAGCAGCAAACAGAAATGATCAATTCTTATTCGCACATATTTTGCAAACATCGTAGCTATTCATACTCTCCGAAGTTTATTGTATAAGACATTCCATGTACATACACAGTAGGGAAGAAAGGAAAAGAGGCTAGAGTGAAAACCCAAGGCAAAACAAAACAAAGAAGGAAAGAGTGAGGAGAGCAAGTAATCGAAAAAGAAAAACGAAGTAAAGAAAGAAAAAAAAGGGAGAGAAGAGAGAGCCAACTTACACGCACTAGGAGAGGGTGATGGTGGTATAGTGTGTGTCGATCGTCGCTTCTCTAGGGAGACCTCTTTCTCGATCTTTCGCCTCGCCACCCATCGCGGATCATCACGCAGCGGCCTTAACTTGACGCTTGATCGGCCTCTCGATCGGTCCCGCCGGTGACGGACCGCGGAACCCCGCTGTGATCCTGTCGTTGATGCAGCAGTGGAACGGCGGAGGCCGGATGTTCCTCTCCTTGTAGGACTGGCAGTCCTGGCAGAACTGCTCGCTCGATCTTCCATAGCCACTGTCCATCACGCTTCCTCCTCCTCCGGGAGCAATCGAGGAAGAGCTCCCTGTGAATCCTGGCGATGGCCTCGCGATCCTTTGCTGCTGGAAGTTGAAATGCCTGGCTTGCTGCTGCTGCTGCTGCTGCTGCTCTTGGAGCAGCGCTAACTGGTTATGGAAATTCGGGAGCGCCTGTTGGAAGCTTGGATTTCCTGCTCCTCCTCCTCCATTGACGCCGGTTCTTCCAGTGAGTAATCTCATGTTGACACCGTCGGGAAAAACCGGGACGCCGCGCTGCATGCTCATTCCCGGCCTTCCAACTGGCTGCTGCTGGATCGGATCCTTGAACCGTGCCGCTTGGCTCATCGTGAGAGCCGCGTCCGAGAACGTTGCTGCTCCAACGCCACCACCACCACCGCCGCCGCCGCTTGCAGTGTGCTGATCGCCAATAACACCCACGAACTTGGCAAGTTGCTCCACCGAGTTCGCGTTCCTGGCCAGCGGCTGCCCGCCAATTCTCGTCACCGGAGGACTCAGCGAGGAGTTCTCCTTAGTTGTTGTTGTTGCCACGGATGGCGTCGCGTCCCTTTCCACCACCACCGGGGACAGAGCTTCCTCCTCCTTGACAGGTTCCGGGAGCACCGCCGCCGCCACTACTTCCACATTGTTCTTCGATGCTGCTGCCGTCACCACCGACGGCTCAAACGCCGGGTCTAGCACCGAGTTTGGCGACGATGCCTCGTACGCAAACGCCTCGTCGCCCTCCTTGCCGGGCCGCTGGCTGGAGGGGGACGTGTCGCCGCGCGACGACGTAGAGTCGTCGTCGTCCACATTCTCCGCCTCGGCGTTCCTCCGCCGCGCGCCCTTCCTCTCCTTCTTGGACTTCTTGAGCGACACCAGGAAGTAGCAGTCCTTCTCCTTGCTCGGGTTGTGCTGGTTGAGGATGATGTTGAAGTTGGTGTTCTCGTTGATGGGCAGCTTCTGCCGCTTGTCCGCGTCCCGGGACGTGGTCCTCCGGCAAACGAACACCGCCGAGAGTTGGTTAGCGGGTATCCCAACTTGGCGGCTCAGCTGGCCCTGGAACCGTTTGAAGGAGAGAACCGAATGTATGCCGATCTGTCCCTTGTCCACCTCCTGGTCGCCATCGAAGAAGAAGAGCGGGTACGGGGTCGCAAAGCTCTCCATGTCCGATGATGATCTCCGCCACCACTGTCTGCTTGTATGATCTCGCCACCACCACCGACACCGCCACCGCCACCACCACTATACCACCCCCACGATCACAGCACCACCACCAAGGAGCCACCCAATTCGGAGAGATGGAGGAAGAGAGGGAGAGAGGCCTCTTTGGTACCAAAGACCTGGTTTTTATAATCTCAATCTGTGCCTGGTAATAACAAAGCCCGTGATCCAGTAAGTTTGGGGTCGACACATCGGATCGAGATGGATGGGGAGTTAACCGTTTGATCAATGCAAGCGCAGGAAGAACACACTCCAATCGCACGCACAGAGAGAAAGAGAGGGAGAGAGAAGGAATTCTCAGCGAGAATCGGGAGGATCAAGCACTCAAAAAAACCCAGCAATCCGGGGAGGAGGGGCGCCGATCCGCGGCGCTAGCCAGGAATTGGGACGGATCCCAGCCGGAATGCCGCGGATCGAGCCACAGATCAGGAAATTTCACAACCCTAAGATGAGAGTGCTACCTTTGCTGTAGCGCGCACGCCCGATCCATCCAGGGAAGCGCGGCCGGGGAAAGGAACCTACGCTGCGCCTCTCGATCTCGCTGCCGCGCGCCTTTGCTTGGATCGATCCGAGGGAAGGAGACGATGCCCAGCGCCTTGGCAGGGGTCGGATCCAGAGATGATAACCCTATCAAATGGAATGCGCAAAGGGAAGCGATGATATATATTATAAAGAATATGGTATAGCCGCCATAGCCAAGAGCATCACACAAAGGCGTTTAGCTCAGCTCCAAGTGTTACACTAACCCGTCGAGTGTTCGATCCCCTTTCAAAACAACTCTAGAATCAAAACGAATATTCCCCCTTCCAGGGTTTTAGGGCAGCAGCAATGGAAGAGTCGCACACCGCCAAGATAATCGTGCTCGAAAATCTCATCCGCGACTGGCTTGTCGGATCGCGAGTTTCTTGAGCTCTGGAAGCGTAAATCCGCCAGGCGGTCGCAGCAGCCGTGGATTTGCGTCTGGGCGTGGCGAGAATAAAGAGCGGCCCCGATATCCGAGGTCTGGAAGGTCAGGAACATCGCAGCTCCAGATTATGGCGTCCTTGGCCGGGGATTCAATGGCGTGCATCAGCTGCCATCGCCTACAAGCATTGGCAGCCACCACGCCACTGGGAATTTCTACAAGGTTACCATTTCTCATCTATGATTCCAGACTGGAAGCTTGGGTGACCGATGCTAGCCAGGGACAGGGATCTTCGAGGCTCTCTCTAAATGAGCATGAGCTCGAGATCATGATCGGAGGTAGAAGGCTGTGGCTTCCCGGATAAAAGCCTGGGTATCATGCTCCATGATCAATCACAGGGGCTATTTCAGTATCTCGGCAGCCTCTTTGGTTGATGCTCGCAGAGCCTATGATCATCTACGAAGTGCAAGTTCTCATCTACGAGCCTGACACTGAGTGGGATTACGTTGGAGAGGAGATTTATCTTCGTCCAGGCACTAGTGTACCTGCGAAGTTCTCGCTCGGTCTCGGAGCTCCATTTTTCCTCCAGCAGTGGCTTTCAACGTTTTCATCCCAGAGGCTACTTAAACTTCTACGGCTTTGGTAATCGCGAGATCCGGAAGCACGAGCCCACCACCTGAGAACAGGTATATCTTCTAGTTTTTTAATTTGTGGCAGCATGCTGTGCCGTTTCCTGATGATGAATACGTGATCATAGGCTCTGCGAGCATCAACCAAAGATCGATGGACGGCTGCCGAGATACTGAAATAGCAATGGGAGCGTTTCAGCCAAACTACACGTGGAAGCAGCAGCACAAACATCCTAGGCAAGCTCAATTTTTCTTGCTTGTAACATCTTAAAGCTTGCCTTCGTTTCTTCCAGGCCTATGGCTATCTGGCTTGCGTGGAAGATTGTTTCAAGATCCAGCAAGCGTGGAAACAGTGCTGGAAGCAGGATGGTCGATATGCAATGCCTTAGCCGGTGGAGGTCACCCCAGAAGGAAATCTGCCAGAAGGAAATCTGTACAAAAGAAGGGTGGCTCAAAAGCGGTGCGTGATTTTGTTTGGGACAAACAGGCAGTGGATGAGGCATTAGAATCAATCGACAGGTGGGTAGATCAGGGTGATGTTCAAGATGACGAGAAGATCATGGCGTTGACGATGTGTATCAGTGACGGCCATGGTAGGCCACAGGACTACACCGCTGAAAAGCCACCGGAAAAACTGTTGCTATCTGCAGACAAATGGTGGAAGAACCAACAGGAGAGCAGCATTGAAGACGTTTGACTTGGCCTTGAAGCTGCACGATAGCAAGAGGAGAGGAGGAAAGGACTCGGGAGTTCAAGCAGAAGAGGAGATGGAAGCCCATGAAACCATGGCTAATGCTGGAAGAAGGAGAAGGTCTCCCAGAGTGAAGCTCATAGATTTTGCAGACTTGTGTTGGATCGAACGAAGCAGTCTTGAATGTGTGGGAAGGTGTGTGAGCATTTTCTTCTGGACAAAATTGGTATGTCAAATTTTATTTTCTTTACTTTATTAATTGTGTAAAATTTACTGGAAGCCAGGAGGTAGTTGGGACTCATGGGAACGCACCAAGGAACGGATTTGTAAAATAACAACTGTCGAAATATTAAAGTTTATATGTGGCAACAAAGCACAAGTACACAACGAAACAACTGATAGTCGTTCTAGGTATTATTTTATTCTAATTTCTTCCTCTTGCTCTTTTCCACTTTTTAATCTTTATCTTATGAATACAGGGAAACGCATGTACGCCTGCGGTGAGGGGGTCAGCAAAACTAGTGTAAAGCACTATGTATTGTCTTTGCTGCTCTTATCCAATCCATCTTTAGTGCACTTTGGAGTGCAATTGTGCCACAAATTGTGGTGAAGGTTGTTTGTGGCACTGGTTGATGCTAAGAACGGAAAGAGGATTTTTGATACTCAAGTTGAAGTTAGAACCTTAACTTTAGTATCCAGCGTCGAAATTAATTGAGATGAAATCCTTGCCAAGGGGGGCAAATGGAAACTCTTTGTGTGGTGACCAGCAGCTAAATGGACAGTGTAAGCAAAGACAACAGCTAATCATTCTCAATGATGATGTAGAGGAACTTCTATCACCTCCTTTACAAGAGGAGAAGTTCACGTTCACGTTGGAAACCAGTCCGGAGAACTCCACGTAATCGTCATGAGAACAGATTTTATAAGCAACGATCACTTCAAAGCAACTTGAACAATGAAAATTATGGAAAGTGGCGATGTTAAGATTGGCGATTTCACCAAGCGTGACTCACGAGCTTTTGATCAAGTGTTACGAGATCGGGAGTGAATAGTAATTATATGAAGATTGCATATCACTCATCCACAAGCTTTTCTGAATTTATAAAGGGCATTGTGAGTTGTAATGAATGAATGAATGAATGAATGAAATAGCGAATCCATTCAAAGACAACCGGTTCGATTCCTTCCATCGGCAAAACATAAAAAAACGTGCTTAGCGCTAAACAAAATCCACTAGGGTTCTTCCTAATGCGGGATTCCTGTGCGGTGTCGCGATGGCGTCGTCCAGCTCGAAGAAGGAAGCGGCGGGGGCGAGGATCGGCCGGCTGAGCTACTGGATCCAGAGCCTCGCCTACGCGGCTCTCGGCGCCGCGTTTGCGACCTCCTTCTTCGTCTTCCTCTCGCCCGGGGGTAGGGAATCGTCGCAATTTTCCACGATCCGCCACGGCATTGTGGATTCCTCGTTCCATGAGGATCATCAGCAGCTGGATCTGTGGAGCAAGCCAGCGGCCGCGGCTACCAGGATCCCGCTGGGGCTCAAGAGCAAATCCCTGCGGATTGTGGTGACTGGGGGCGCGGGCTTCGTCGGCAGCCATCTGGTGGACAAGCTCATCGGCCGGGGCGACAGTGTGATTGTGGTGGACAATTTCTTCACAGGCAGGAAGGAGAATGTGATGCATCACTTTGGGAATCCCCGGTTTGAGCTCATCCGGCACGATGTTGTGGAGCCGCTGCTGCTGGAGGTGGATCAGATCTATCACTTGGCCTGCCCTGCGTCGCCCGTCCACTACAAATTCAACCCGGTCAAGACGATCATATCCTTTTCTTCTTTGCTTGTTCTTCGTTTCTTTCGAGCATCTAACGCGTTTTTTTTTTCGTTGCTTCCTTAACTCTTGGAGCTTTCACAAGACCAACGTGGTTGGAACACTCAACATGCTCGGATTGGCCAAGCGAATCGGTGCTCGGTTTTTGCTGACCAGCACAAGCGAGGTTTATGGAGATCCGCTGGAGCATCCTCAGAAGGAAGATTACTGGGGAAACGTGAATCCAATCGGTATGGCTTTTGCTCTTCCAACTCCATTTCTATCGCAATGCTGTTTTAGGTGTGAGAAGTTGCTATGACGAGGGTAAGAGGACCGCAGAGACACTCACAATGGATTATCACAGAGGTGCAAATGTGTCAGTAAGTGAACTTTCCTTGAAAGCCTAACAAAGGTTGACGGTGATGTTCCATCGTTTACAGGTGAGGATCGCTCGTATTTTCAACACATATGGTCCTAGAATGTGCCTGGACGATGGCCGAGTTGTCAGCAACTTCGTGGCCCAGGTACAAAAGCATCCCTTGAAAAGCTTCTTCCCGTTTTCATTCTTTTGCTTTCTCGCAGGCCCTCCGTAAAGAGCCTTTGACAGTCTATGGCGATGGAAAACAAACTCGGAGCTTTCAGTTCGTCTCAGACTTGGTAAACGAAAGAGTTTTCTAGCCTTGATGTGTGTGTTTTTTCCTTGACAAGGTGGAAGGCCTGGTAAAACTTATGGAAAGCGATCACATCGGGCCATTCAACCTTGGGAATCCCGGTGAATTCACCATGCTGGAACTTGCTCAAGTATGATATCAAAAAAGTGATCTGTGGAAGTAACTCTCTTCCTTCTTCCGCTTGTGATCAGGTTGTCAAGGAGACAATCGATCCGGAGGCTAAAATCGAGTTCCGGGACAACACAGCGGACGATCCACACATGCGCAAGCCGGATATCTCAAAAGCAATCTCGATGCTTGGCTGGGAGCCGAAAATTCCTCTGAGGGAAGGACTGCCGCGAATGGTTGACGACTTCAAGCAACGAATCTTTGGCAAAGATGGGACAAGCTCAAGCAGCGACGAGCAACAGTAAACTCCCTCTTTTAACTATAGACGAGTAGGCGTTCCTCAAGAACATAGCAAAGTAAGTTCTTTTTTGCCGGTGAAATTCCAGCGTTCTTCCTTGATCCGTTTCGATCTTTCGCGAAAAGTTTCAAACGTTGAAAGCATATTCTTGGGATCGAGTTCTAGGGCTTGTTTAGGGTTTTGGGTAAACCCAATCCGACGGTCAGGATCGCTTTTTTTGGACTATCGTTTGAAATCTTTGGGGAGAGGAGGAATGGGCGCAAAGCGCGATGGTGGCCCCGAAAATCCCCAGCTTCGAGGACGGGGAGATCGGGGAGAACGGCGAGGATCCCAGGGACGCGCGCGTCAAGAAGGTCTTGATCTTCAAGACCACGGGCGAGATCATCTCCTCGTACGATCGGCTCGAGAGCAAGCTGTTCGCGCTGGGGTGGCACCGATACACCGGCGAGCTCGAGCCCATGCTCGCGTTCGATCGCGAGAGGAAGCAGTACTTCCATCCAAAGCCCGGCTCCTGTTTCATCAGCCTGCCCCTGGATTTCGACAAGCTGCGCATCATCCACCTGTACGAGATCGTCGTCCAGACGCGCACGGCGTTTGCGATCCGCGAGATCCCCCAGCCGCGGAGGAGAGGGGGATAGAGCTAGATTCCAGAGCTACTAGATCATCGCTCTTCCAAACTCTCCGGACCAAGAGAAAGAGAATACACAGATTTTCTACTACGTTCTCTTCCAGAGTCTTTGGAGCACTCGCATCTGCGACCTCTGGCTGGAGATTTGCTGCGAGAGATCCTCGATGGGGCGGACGTGGGCGATCTGGAACTCGCTCTCCAGGACCCGCTTGTCCAGGCGCTGGAACTCGCCGCTCACGATCCGGTCCTCCAGACCGTAAGAGGTGATGACGATGAGAGAGCCGCCGGGCGCCAGGCACGAGGCCGCCTGGGGTACGGCGATCTTGAGCGTGTTGATCTCGTCGTTCACGGCGATTCTCAGGGCCTGGAACGTTGGCAGCGCGGGATGCTCGTCCTCGAATCTCGGTGGCTTGGATCCAAGGTTTTGTTTCCTGCGATCTATAGAGAAGAAGAAATGGAAGAGCTTCGCAAAGTGAAGAAGAAGAAATGGAGGAGCTTGGCCAAGGAGAGATCTTACCGATGAAGTTGACGAGCTGGAGCGTGGTTTTGAAGGGCCCTTTCTTGAGCCGGGTCTCGGCGATGGAGTGAGAGAGCTCTTGCCAGTGTTGCTCCTCGCCGTAGTCCCGGAGTAGTCGTCCCAGCTCGCGCTCGTTCCACGAGTTGAGGATGATCTCGGCTGTCATCCGGGAGCGTCGATCGAATCGCATGTCCAGAGGGCCGTCCATGGTGTGGCTGAAGCCTCTCTCGGGAGTGTTAAGCTGGAAAAAAGAAAGCTTGCAAAGATGGTGGCATGGTTTTCTTTATTCTTTCCACTAGCAAGAAGAGATTATGATGCAAAAGCGAAAACCAAGAACTCAAGAGCAAAATCACTTCAAATTCATCAGGAAGAAAAACGCAAGAACTCGGAAAAAGAGTCTAAGAACCAGAACCACGTAGAAGGAAAACAAACAATTCAGCCAAGAAGAAAGTGGAGACAATGGCGCATTTTAGAGCAAGAAAGGAGGTCATCACAAAATCCAACCATGAAACTCAAGAAGAAGAACGGTTTCCATGCTATGCATGCCAAGGAAAATCTTCTACCTGCATTGCGGAGAGACCCAACACCATCAAGATCCCGTCCACCCCTCGCTGGAGCAAGCCCGGATCGATCTGGTTGAGCTGGAGCTTGAGACACTTAAAGTTGACACTGGCAAAGTGGAGGCGGAGGTGGGCATTCCCCGCAGCGGCGGCTTCCAACTTGGGTCTGGCCAGCAACACCGCGTCGGGGTCTAGATCCAATCCCACAACTTGCCGGAGCTCGGGATGGGTCCGTATGATCTGTGGAGAAAGAAAGAGAGCGATGTTTCTTTTGATCAAAAGAGAATGGAGCCATTACCTCGAACGCGTGAGCTCCGTTTCCCAGCGTGCAATCCACAAACGTTTCTAGGCGATTCGGCTTTAAGTGTTGGAGCACCGGATTGATCATCACTGGCGAGTAAATCGCTGCGAGGTTCCTGTACCATCGCTTGATCATTGTCAAGGGCATTAGAGATTATCTCAACACCCTCACCAGTTTATTCGATCGATTCATCGAAACATCACCTTCTTTTCTTGGATCCACGAGAGAGAGAGAAGTTACAATTCGATTGCTTTTTGTCTTCTTTCTAAATCACTCGACTACCTGAGCAGAAACAAGTAACGAAGTATCTCGAAAGAGAAGCTCTAAACACGATGATCTATGTAGAGAACTAGCTTTTACCTCGACGATTCTCATCCTCGGATGGCTCGCTTCACCAATCCTCGCCGAAGTATTTCTTCCTCATGTCGTCGATGATGGTGCGTGGCCGTCCCTCGCCATAAGTTCCACCCGCGTACTTGGTCGCTCCAGGCAGCGGCTTGGGAGGATTGTTTGGATCCATGTTGGGATAGTTTCCATTCGCGTCGCGGTACCAAGGATTCGGAACAGTCGGATGTGGATTTCCCCTGGGCAAGTAAACCAAGAGCGATGAGTGAAAGAAAGAAAAAGAAAAGAGAAAAAGCTTCACCTGCGTCCTCCTCCAGAGTAAGATGGTGGCGGAGGAGACGACGAAGCGTTTGGATTCGGCCAAGTCTTTCCGGCTCGGGGATTCGTGTTGAAGTTACCACCGCTACCGCCGAATGGAGGGCTCGACGAGTTGTTGCTTGCACCGGCTTGATTCCCATACGGTGGCATGTTTGTGTTCACGGCCCCGCCAGTATAAGGATTGCCTCCACTGTTGTTGGGAGAACCATACGGAGGAATGCCGCTGCTATTGCTGCTGCTGTTGTTGGTGTTGCTGGAAGAACCAAAGGGAGGGATGGAGCTGCTATTGTTGTTGTTGATGTTGCTGGAAGAACCATTGGGAGGGATGGAGCTGCTACTGTTGTTGTTGTTCATGCTGTTGGAAGAACCGAAGGGAGGGATTGAGCTGCTACTGTTGTTAAAGTTGCTGGAAGATCCACCAAAGGATCCACTGTTGTTGCTCGGAGGAGATCCATACGGAGGAACCGAGGTGGTGGAGTTGCTTGATCCACCGTATGGAGGCATGGATCCGCTGTTGTTGCTCGGAGGAGATCCATACGGAGGAACCGAGGTGGTGGAGTTGCTTGATCCACCGTATGGAGGCATGGATCCGCTGTTGTTGCTCGGAGAAGAACCATAGGGAGGGGTGGAGTTGCCTGATCCACCATAGGGAGGAATTGATCCGCTACTGTTGCTTGGAAAAGGAACCGAGGTGGTGGAGTTGCTTGATCGAGGAACGTTGCCGGCTCCACCGCCATAAGGACCTCCGTAAGGAGTCGAGCTAGAGCCCCCGTTACCGTATGGAGGAATCGAGCTTGATCCTCCTCCCATGCCGTAGCCACTAGAAGAAGATCCGCCGCCACTGTATGGAGGAGCCGAGCTAGAACCTCCGCCACCGTATGGAGGAGCTGAGCTAGAGCCACCGCCAACGCCGTATCCACCGCCACCTCCACCAGAAGGAGGAGATCCTCCGCCACCATATGGTGGAGCCGCGCTAGAGCCTCCGCCAACGCCGTAGCCACCGCCACCTCCACCAGAAGGAGGAGAGCCTCCGCCACCGTATGGTGGCGCCGCGCTTCCTCCACCAGGAGTCGAGCCACCACCGCCGCCAACGCCATATCCTCCAGCACTGTAGCCACCGTTACCTCCACCGCTGCCCTGTGGGGGAGGGCTCACGCCATAGCCGCCCCCAACCCCATAGCCACCGCCGCCTCCGCCAGGCACAGAACCATTACCTCCATCGCTGTTGAAAGTGGAATTGTGATGAACGAGCACCAATGCCGATGGATTGGCGATCTTGGAAGCCGCCGCGCTACCGCGACAGAGCTTCCCAGCGCCCAAGACGATCAGCCGCCTCGCCGCCATCGCTCGCTCGCTGTCCTCCCTGCCCAAAAACCCTACACCCTAAACCCTAAACCTCAAACTCTTGTGCAAGCTTGGACGAGACGAAAGCTTTCTTTCATTGGCATAGCCGCTGGATCACTCGCATTTTGGCGCTCCTACACCGGGAGTTTTTCTCGATCTCCGCGGCGTCGGCCGTGATCGGGCTCGTGGTGAGCAGCATGAACGCCAAGTCCGCCTTGTCGAACACCAGCGACAGCTCCTTGAACTGGTACTTGACGATGCGATCCTCGAGGCTGTGGAAAGAAATCACCGCCAGGCGACCACCGGGAGCCAGGCAGCTGCTCGCGTGCCCGATGGCGGACCTCAGTGACTTGAGCTCGTCGTTCACGGCGATTCTCAGCGCTTGGAACGTCCGAGCTGCCGGGTGCCTGGCTCTCTTGAATCTCCCTGCCGGTAGGAGAGAAGTAAAATATGAGTTCCACGAGTGGTGTGTGTAAGGCCTTACCTGAAGTGAATCTTCCTCCAACAACGCTGGCGAGATCTTTCGTTGTTTTGATCCCGCCGTTGAGCCGCGCGTCCACGATCCGGCTCGCCAGGAACTTCCACCGCATCTCCTCGCCATACTCTCGCAAGATGCGGCCAATCTCAGCGGCGGACCAGTTGTTGCAAATGGCTTCCGCGGTGAGCCCAAGAACATCCTGCAAGCAAGTTCCCGTGAGATCTCTATCACGATGAAGAAATAGACTTACACTCGAATCCATTCTCATGTCCAGAGGTCCATCCAAGTAGTAGCTAAAGCCTCGCTCGGGAGCGTCAACCTGGAAAAGGAAGTGAAAACTAGAAAGATTGGCATTCACGGCTTACCTGCATTGACGAAAGTCCCAGGTCCAAAAGAATCCCATCGAAGCCCCGCTCCAAGAGCTCAGGATTTCGTTCTTTGAGATCCTTCTTCATGTTCTTAAAATTGGCATGGAAAAGATCCACCTTCGCCATGCTACCTGAGAGATCGCTTAATCTTTGTCTCGCCAGCTTGAGCGCGCAGGGATCAACGTCCATTCCCACGAACGTCTCCAGCTCCGGATGCGCTTGGATAATCTTTGCAAGGATGGAGTGTAATTCACTACCATTGCTCTATTGACAATCGAGTTGTTACCTCGAAAGCATGGCCTCCAGCTCCCACAGTGCAATCCAAGAAGGTTTTGACGCTTCTTCCTTCGAAATGCTCCAGGAATTGCCTCACTAGGACGGGCGTGTGCGGCAATCTCTTCTTCTCCCCAGATTGAGGAGTGAAATCCTCCTCGACCTCGGCCTCCAAGCTCGCAGCAGCGGCGGCAAGACTCCTGAATCCCCTCCGCTGCAAAATCGAGGAGCTCGCGACCGCTAGCAATCCAATCCGGCAAACCCTAGCGCTTCCAACCGTTGGAGACACGAAGGGAGAACAATGCAGCATCTCCCAAGAACCCTAGCGAGGTAAAACTCCTCGTATGAATGGTAAAGGAAAAACTAAAAAAGATTCTTACAAGCGGATGCCGACGAGATGCCTCTTTATTTGACTGGCTCTATGATATTTGAGGGCATCGATTCGTCACATTGAAGCGCCCACATTCTTCTCGTGCTGTCGATCGATCCATCCTCGCCTTTTTCCAATGTGGACTCTAATGTGGGGGCTTTCGATCGTCGCATCGGCGCTGGCGCTGGCGATAGCGCTCTCCAATCCGGCCGCGGCAGCATTCGCGGGATCTAGAGCGCAAAACTCCGAATCGGTAAGCGTTTTTTCTTGAAGTAGCAATCCCTTTCCTCTCGATCTCTTGTTCTAAGCCCTGGCCGATATTTCGCTCTGGATCTTCCTCTCTTCTCGATCTCTTCTCTCTCGGTTGGCTGTCTGGATATCTTTCGATCGATATTTCGGTCTCTCTTCTCCACTTCTTGGACAATCCTTTCGAAATTCCTCATCGTCTCGGTGTGTTCCAGCTCGGGAACTGTGTCTACACGATCTACGTGCGCACCGGCAGCATCTTCAAGGGCGGATCCGACGCCAACATGAGCGTGGAGCTCATCGACACCTACAACAACAGCCTGACCATCGACAACATCGAGACATGGGGCGGATTGATGCCGAGCGGCTGGAACTACTTCGAGCGCGGCAATCTAGACGTGTTTAGCGGCCGCGGCTCCTGCCTGAGCACCACCCCTTGCAAGCTCGTCCTCACCTCGGATGGATCCGGCAGCCACCACGGCTGGTACGTCAACTACGCCGAGGTGAGCATCACGGGCCCGCATCTCGGCTGTTCCCAGCGCCTCTTCACCATCGAGCAGTGGCTCGCCACGGACACCTCTCCGTACGAGCTCTCCGCCACCGTCGATAAGTGCCAGGGCAACGGCGATCCAAGCATCCAGAAAGCCTAGTACGGAACTCTCCGTGGATAAGGTATATCCCTGCGAATGTGCCAGTTTTTTAAATAACGACAAACGCGGGAATCGAAAAGCCCAGGTTTAGGTCAACGTGGCGCAAGAGTATATGCGCCGGATCCTGGGGATATTTTGAGAATATCCCCGTGGGAAAAGGTCACGGGAAAAGTGCTATAAAGAAGCGAGGGTTCTTATCCTAAAGAAGCGCGCATACCTAGCTAGAGAAAAGGAATGGCGGCGATCGCGAGCTTCGTCCCAGTTGCGTCGATCCGCGCTCGTGGTAGTGAGCAGAGAATTAGATCTTCCTCTCCATCTTTGTCTGTGGCTTCTTCGTCCTCACAAAAGGATGCAGTGATGGATCTGATTAGCAGCAGCACCGCAAAGGGCAAGGCGTGGTGGAGTCCTCTCTTCAATTTCTCCTCCTCGTCGCAGCAGCAGGACTGGGCTGCGCAAGACGATGCCAAGGAACTCGCTCCAAATGTAGATCTAGCAGCCAAGAACACCTCGGACAAATTCAGGATCCTTCGCCAGCGGCTTAAGGGCTTGGATGCCCACCACGACACGATGTACCACTCCTCGATCGCCTCGCGCCTGGCCACGCAATAGAAATCGTGGCGAATGGAATTCCATTGTGAATACCATGTCTTTGTTGTTCTTCCCTCTTCTCCAAACGGAGAAATGTAACATACTGGAAACCCTGTTCTTGGAATTATGGAATGGAATTTGTGTGATTTTTTAGTGAATCTGCTTGCACGGAAGTCCATCGAGATGAAAAAGGTCGTGAATAGTGGCCTCGATCGAGCGAGCACGAGCGTGCGAGTGATATGGGTCGATTTCTATCCCTTGTTCTTGGCCTTGTTCTTGGGTTTTGGGTGCGATTCGCAGCGAGCGCGGCACTCTACAAGGTGGGCGACAATCTGGGTTGGAATCTCAACGTGAATTACACTCAATGGGCGGCCAAGTACCCGTTCGCATTGGGCGATAGCGTCGGTAAGAGCTCTTCGCGAATGATAAGAGGAATCCGAGCGATTTTCATTCCATGGGCAGTCTTTGATTGATCTTGGGTTTCGGGAACAGTGTTTGTTTTCAGCGGATCTCACTCGGTGCTGATGGTGAACGAGATCGATTACGTGCTGTGCAACATTCACAATCCAGTCCAGGGCTTGTTGAGCGGGCGGGCGATCACCCTGGCGGCGCGCAAGAACTTTTTCATCTGCGGGATCCCGGGGCATTGCATCACGGGCATGAAAGTGGCGATCTATGCGTCAGTGGCCTCCAGCTCGCAATCGGTAGCATCGGATTTCTCATCGCCCTCGTCGTCCGCGCGGTCTTCTTTCCCAGATTTTGGGGCGCGTCACGGGCCCGCTCTTCCCACGAGTTTGGGGCTTTTGGCCTTGCTGCTTGTGATCTAGATCGAAAAAAAAGGCGAGATCATCGAGAGAATGGCCGAGAATGCGTGAGGATTCTCGCTTGCCAACGGCACAGCATCTGGGAGTCGCACTAAACGATAAACAAAAAGGAAGAGAGCTTTCTTCCTTTAGTCAACTCTAGGCAACCTTTTAGGGCTAGTCAACAACAGTTTGACTATAGAATCAACTCTGGATATTCCCCATCCAGATATTTGTAAAACCCTTGATGTGGAGCACTTGTGTGCCTTGAATGAAAGATCTCGCCCAGACGGGCTTTGGATGAGCGACGGAGGATTGGATTAGGGCAAAGGAATGGCGAGCGTCCTTGGCAGCATTGCCTCCGCGTCGCCAGCGCCATCGTCGGCGGCAGCGTCCAAGCTCGGGAGCGCCGGCGTCTTCAGCAAGAGTGTGAGTTTCCCGCTGCTAGGGCCGCCAATCGTAATCCTCCGGCATTCTTCCTCCGCGGCCCCTGCCCCGGCCAAGATCGTTTGCCTGGGCAATGGCGCCGGTAGCAGGCCCCTCGTGGCTAGCTTGTCCGGGTTTACTGTCACCAGCGACAGTCCATCATTCTCGGCAGGGAATGCCAGCGCGAGCGAGGAGCTCGCTATTGCGAGCTTGGGCATCGACAGCAGGATTGTGGACGCCCTTGCCAAGAGGGGCATTGTGAATTTGTTTCCTATCCAGGTATGTGAGATCTAATTCCCTACGTCGTTAATTTTCATTGTTTTGTTCCAGAGAGCTGTCTTTCAACCGGCAATGCAAGGACTCGATCTCATCGCTCGAGCAAAGACAGGAACTGGCAAGACGCTGGCCTTTGGGATTCCAATCCTGGATAACATATCGAGGGAAAAGAGTAGTATGCAATTCAGGTGAGCCTGACATCGTACTACACAATGCTTGATTTTGTTTTTCTTTGAATCCAGACCAGCGGGAACTCCACGAGCAATCATTCTGGCACCAACTAGGGAGCTCGCGAAACAAGTTGAGAACGAGCTTGTGCTCGCAGCTCCACACTTATCTGTGGTTTGCATCTATGGTGGTGTTAGTATCGAAGGCCAACGAAGGCAACTAGCATCCAGTGTTGAAGTGGTGGTGGGAACTCCCGGCCGAGTCATCGACATGCTTGAGAGGGGCGACTTGAGACTGAACGAAGTGAAGTTTGCGATCCTGGATGAAGCGGATCAGATGCTTGCTGTTGGTTTTGCCGAGGAGGTCGAGAGAATCATGCAAAAGTTGCCGCTTCAGCGTCACACCATGCTTTTCTCCGCGACAATGCCGAGCTGGATAAGGAACTTAACAAGCAAGTATCTTAAGAATCCAACAATGATAGACCTGGTAAGTGTATCATTTGACTTGTTCGTTTTCTGACACTCCGAAGAACAGGTCGGTGAAAATGAGGATAAAGTTGCTGAAGGAATCAAGCTCTATGCAGTTTCTACAAATGACCTCGCAAAAAACAAACTTCTGGCCGATCTTCTCACGGTTTGTCGACTTTAATGACTGGGACTTGTATAAATAATATTTACTTACAGGTCTATGCGAAAGGAGGCAAAGCCATAGTATTCACGAAGACGAAGAGAGATACGGACGATGTTGCTGCTGTGATGAGCCGTTCCATTGGTTGTGAAGCCTTGCATGGGGATATTTCTCAGTACCAAAGAGAGAAGACCCTGAGTGGGTTCCGTGACGGGAGATTCAACGTTCTAGTCGCAACGGATGTTGCAGCTCGGGGGCTTGACATTCCAAATGTGGATCTCGTAAGTGAACTTTGTCTCTGCGAGGCCTTGTTTTAACAAGTTATTACTTTAGATTGTGCATTACGAGGTTCCCGGAGATTCGGAAACTTTCGTTCATCGATCCGGAAGAACAGGCCGAGCGGGCAAGAAGGGGACCTGTATACTTATGTATACTCTTAATCAAAAGAGGGTCCTACGCACGATTGAAAGCGAAGTTGGCTGCAAATTTGAAGCTATAGGCCCGCCTGCGGCTGAGGATGTACTTGCCAGTTCTTCTGATCATGCGTCGGAGTCGATCAAAAGCGTGCACCCGGATCTCGCAAAGCTCTTTCTGCCTGCTGCGCAAAAACTACTGGAAGAGCAGGGCGTTAACGCTCTTGCAGCAGCTATGGCCCATGTTAGCGGTGTTACTCAACTCCCTCCCAAACGATCTCTCTTGACATACGAGGAGGTAATTAATCTTGTTGTTCTCATCGTGGAACTAACGGTGTTCGCTGCAGGGATACATGACTTTGCAGCTGACCGGTGGAAATTTGATTGACTCAAGTGCGGTCTCGTCAGCTGTAATGCAACTTAGCTCCAAAGCAGGAATGAGCATGGGAAGAGTTACAATGCTTTCGAGTTCGACGGTATGTTTCTATCTTTCTGCATGTTTTTTTCTGACCGCGTGAACAGGCCACCGGAGGGGTGTTCGATCTTCCAGAAGATCTTGCCAAGGAGATTCTTGCACTTCAAAATGTCGGAAGCAATGTTCTCACTGCTGTAAAAGTTGTAAGTACATATTTATGTTTCTTGCTGTTTGTTCCTGACAAGCGGTTTGGCAGCTTCCCGATTTACAAGAAGACTACTTCCAGTCATCATTCAGTCGAGGAAGGAGCTTCGGTGGAGGATTTAGGAGTGGCGGATCCTCGTACGGCGGCGGTTCATCTTATGGCAACAGGGGTGGCTCGTCCTTTGGAGGTTCTTCATATGGAGGAAGTCGCACTGGTTCCGGTTATGGTTCCTCATACAACAGTGGAGGTGGTTATGGTAGAAGTGAAGGCTCGAGCTATGGGGGGTCATCCTATAACAGTGGATCCGGATCCTCGTATGGCAACAGGTCAGGAAACTATAGCTCTCCAAGCTATGGTGGAAACAACGGTTCCACTTTCGGTAACTCTTCAAACTACGGTGGATCTGGATCGTGGTCCAACTCCAACAGCAGGGACGCTGGCTACGGTTCCAACAGCAGGGATGCTGGCTACGCCACTGGCTCTTCCACTGGCTTTGGTGGAAATGCTGGTTCCTCCACAGGCTACGGCGGGACTGGCTACGGTGGAACCTCCGGTTCATCCACTGGATACAATGGAGCGGGCTTTGGTGCAAGTTCTGGTTCCTCCACTGGCTATGGTGGAACGTCCTCATCTACTGGATATGGTGGAACGTCTCCATCCACTGGATACGGTGGAACGTCTTCTAGTGGTTTCGGAGGGAACTCGTCGACTGGATTTGGAGGAAATTCGTCGAGTGGCTTTGGAGAAACATCATTTGGCGGAGCTCGAGGCTACAATGCCAACCCGACGACTCCCAACGCAGGGACTGACTATGGCTGGAGGAAAGGTGCCGGGAGCTCGGGAGGATCAACCGGTGCCACAACTCCTTCATACGGTTCCTCAACCGGAGGAGGATATGGTGCTCCATCTCAACCTGGCTATGGTGCGTCGGCTGGGAACACTGGCTATGGAACTTCCGGCAACTACGGTTATGGCAATTCTCCTTCGGCTGCTGGGACTAACTACGGCTATGGCAACTCTGCCTCCACCAACAATGCTAGTGGCGGCTACGGTGGAAATCCCGGCAATGGGTATGGTTCAAGCACACCAAACACAGGAACAGGATTTTCATCTGGGGGTGTTGGCTATGGAGGCTCTCAAAGCTCGTATGGATCCAGTCAAGCTCCTTCCTCGTATGGCTATGGTGGCAACTCGTCCCAAGGTGGCGGCTATGGCTCCAGCGGCTATGGAGCGGCTTCTCAAAACTCTCCCGGGTATGGCCGCGATTATAACGCGCCTGACCAGAATTCTTCTCGTGGCTATGAAGCTGGAAACTCGACTCCAAACGATCAAGGTGATCGTCAAAGGAGCTGAAAAAATGAAAACTACAAAAATATTTTGTGTTAATTAATAAGTAAGATTAATTAACATGAGATTATCAACAAGAGACTTGGAAGAGTAATGCCGTCTGAGGCGACGAATTCGGCGGCCTCTCGCACATTTTTGCTGCTTCATCCAGGGAATGAGCTGAGTTTTCTTATGGAGAGGATGTGTGGAATGCTCGTTTTCGAGATGCATTGCGCACTCCACGTGAGACAAAGCACCAAGAGCTCACTTCCCCAGAGTTCAAAACACTATTGTGTCATCTGCATTCTCACTTCGTCGACTCCTATTGCATTTGCAGAAGGACAAGTTACTGTCTTTATCAGACCATGCAGATCCAGAGGTGTCTCTGGCGCTGTGAAACCTTGCGTTTCCATGTCGGAGAAAGGGTTTTGGATTAATGGATAGTGGTCGGCCATAGGTGAAGGTGGCAACTACTTCGCGACCACAAGGGTCATAGTTAGAGGCATTCCATCTGAAGCCTACACACAATGGACGGAGCAGCTAGTGATAGAAAAACAATCCTTGAGTATTGATGGTGAATTCCCTCTTGGGATATATACATAAACTTTCCTTTGGTTGCGCCTCAATCACGCATAAAGTTTCCTTTGATCACGTATTGTGATCTGTTTCTAGTTGTTCCAACACTGGGTCTCACTTTTGTTATCAGATTGCTATTCCCTTTGTGCAACCAGTCCGAGCTGTTGTTGTAAGCATTCAAACTGGCAAATTACAGACGTAAGCAGAAATGTACTTCAGCTTCACCTCCTCTCTTCAATCCGCTCTCTATGAAATAGTGGAACATTTCGAAGTGTTTATTCCTCCCATGGTGTACTTGATTCATAATCAACTGTAGGCATGCTGTGTTGTTGTAAACGTTCAGCAATTTTCCACATTGAAGCTAATCATCAAGATGATCTGTAGTTATGACGCTCAAGATTCATTTTCCTCTACATATAGCATAACATTTTTTATTTTGTAGCAAATTGAGATTTCCAATATCTAGTTGGGCTTTGTATACAGAGGCATCTAGGTATGTCTTATGAAGTGCTTCTATTTCATTCCACCTCTCTCAACAAGCATCAGCTTTTGGCATGGATAATCCGCTAACATCAATAATCTGCCACTTTTTCTTCTATATAGCTATAGAGACTATATCGCTAACTGTTTTTACTCTTCTTTTCTTCTCTTTCACTTAAATTTAAAGTTGATTATGGGAGTTAAAGATACTTTAGTGCAATGGTTCTCAAGCTAGAACCAGTTTGACACATTTTTACTTAGCTTCCTTCTTTTTTTAAGCTCTTGTCATTTATTCATTTCTCCATTTTCTCATAGTCAGATTCTAGTTTGACCCTATAGTTTTTCTTTGGTTTTTCTATGTGTTTTTAAAGTTTACACCTTATTCTCATTTCTTCTCTATTATCTCCATTTTCATCATCCATCCTTTGTCCTTTGTATGTGCTAGACTTGGATTCTTTTCCAGCTATGGGTTCTTGCCATTGTTAGAGCATAAGTATAATTCTGGGCATATTCCTGGATATATTATTGAGTACAACACATATATATTTTTTCTTTTGGCATTTCCAGTTGATACACCAAGGCCAGTGCCACTGGCCAAGATTTTGGGCAGGCATTCCACTCAAAGCCTATACGCAATGGATGGAGTGCCTTGAATCTGCTGCTTAGAGGAAGGAGGTTGATCCGAGAAGGAACTGATGTCTACAAATCAGTGATTAGCTGGTTTACTAGCGTTTGTTGTTCTAATCGACTTGTTTAACAATTCAAGGCTTCTAGGAGCCCGATTGTGGATATGCAGCTGGCTTGAGGAACACAATTATAGTACATGTGATGAAAATTTGAATATTCTGTCGGGGATAAATGTAGGGTAGAAAGAAAACCTCACAAGATGTGGATAGCATCCAGCTGCCAACTGTGCCTAGGGATCAAGATAAAAGAGCCGAGCTTTGTATGTATAGCAAAGTTGATTTCAGTCTAGGGGTGTTGTGGCGTAGCCAATAGGGAGGTGTAAGAGACCAATTACATATAGAAGGGATGTGAGGTGGCAGAGGTCAAGAGGAGTTGCAAAAGAACACAAGCTCAATTCTTTCAAGTGTATGAGGAAAGGGTGATCTTTTCTTTTCTATAAGGGATCCTGATTATGGTTCTCAGGTAGATACAGCCATGGCATTGTTGGTTCTCTCTCGCAAGAGTAGGAAGAGTCGATAGTGTTCCAGGATGCTCCAGAGGATTGGTAGTTTCCGTCTTCGGCACCTCCTGTATTCAGCTCGTTCGGGAATTGAGGGCTATGGCCGAAATGCCAGCTCTTCAGGAAGCTCCTTTCCGGCTTGTCTGGGTTCTTGCCAGCCTTTGCTTGTGTCTGTGGACCCAGCTGCCAACGTCCCAACATTCCCATTTCCCCTGTCAGCTTTCACCTCTACTTCGGGGGTGAATTCTAGTTCACCACCTTACGTGACTGCTGTGCCAGTGTACAGTGTGGCAACGTTTATTCCCTGGCATTTCAGGACTGGGGGGATGCCGTCGCCAAATTTCTTGTGGCGTCCATCATGGCCCTAGGGAAGCACTCCGTGGCTTCTTCAGGACTTGCGGTGGATTGCTGCGGCGGAGCCCAGAGCTGGATCGTTGGCTCCACAAGGACAGGTTCCTATTAACTCATTATGCGGGAAAGGTGTTTTGTACTTCACCCTAAAGCGAAAGAGAGTTCCATTCGCATCGATATACTTAAAGGGGTTACTACGCTCTTGATGGCTCCCTCATGGGAAGAATTCAAAAGGCTGCTCGTTTGTGTTAATAGCAGTGGCGGATTTACCCTCAAGTTCACACTACGATACATCTTGCGGTCCAGTAGTTACAAGAGTTCAATGAAACATGGTTGAAATCAAGATTCGGCGTTCATAGAGTTCCGGAGGATGCGCCCACTCAGCGATATATTGCGTCGCTGCCTGCTCGCATGAGCTCTGATGTTGCTCAAATGCGACGAATGACTGTTTGCCAAGCCATGCACCTTGGAGGCTTGGTTGACATTGTGGAATGATCCTCTATGCCAAGGACGGAACCAGTGGACCAACAAACCGTCGTTGGTGTCATCATCACGGACTTCATCAATGTTTATTTCCTGTCCACTAGTTCACTAGTGCATTCTACAGTTGACAGAACTAAGCGCTTGGACGACATCAAGGAAGGCAAATGCTTTGACTATGGAGGACGTTGGTTCCAGGGGCATCGAGAAGTGTATACAAAACGTCCAGTTAAAGGGAAGGTGGTGCTAATACATTTATGAAGACGGCACCGTGGCTCCTTGCTCCGCAGAGCAACTGGACACTCAGAGAGATTTCTTTATCCTGGAGGCCAAATGACCGTAGTATGAGTGCCGAGGATCAAGTAGATCCTTGCATATGTTTGTTGGAAAAGCTCATCCGCAATGCCTTCGAGTTAAAGGTAAGATTTATTCGCATGAGGCGTTCATGTTGTCAATTTTGGAGCGTCACATATGTTTATCAACAAACGTTGGCTCCAGAAGTTGAAGCTCACAACATCTTTGCTGCCGAGGCCACTAATTGTGGGGATTACTGATGGTGGGACTTTATTGTCAGAGGCGGAGGTCCGATGCAACATACAGGTAGGAGGATATCAGATGGAGGGGACGTTCCATGTCCTTGAGATGGGGGCCGTCAATGTGGTGTTTGGAGTTGACATTCTCCAGACTCTGGGAAACATCGTTGTTAACTCTGGAATAAAGTGGATGGAATTTTCTGTCAAGGGAAAGACATATGAAATAGAAAAACACATTCCCTTGAGAATAAACTCCTGGAGCTCGAACAGATCATCGGCCCCTAACTCCTCTGGGATGTCCTTGGTGAAGTAAGAGACAGCACAAACTCCTCCTAGAGGGATCGATTATATATAGCAGGAATATGAGGTGGCAGAGGTAGGTTTGAGAACCAGAACTCGAGCTCAATTCCACCATTCCATCCGCTAATAGCTCCTCCACCATCTCGTCGACACGCTGGCGTTCCTCCTGATCCGGACGAATAAAAGCTCGGGTGGTAGGAGGAGCTCCTGATTCCAAACAAATATGGTCCCAGTTTTCTCACTAGCCTCTCAAGCAGTAATCTTCTTGCGAAAGACATGAGGATAAAAACTTGCAAGTACCTTTATGTCGTAATTTCGGCCAAAGCATCTTCCTCCTCTGTGGGCTTTTCTTCATTGCTTTCCTCCCGCCTTCGTTGTCATTTTTCTCCTCCAGTCCTCCAGGGCCTGCGTTCTTCACTAATTTCTTCTCCCTGGCTTTCTTCCCGGGGCTTCGCTCCTTAGGCAAAGCTGTCTTTGCAAGCTAAAATTAGTTGCTTCCCCCTCAAGAACTCCTAGGGTCACCACCTCTCGCGAGAAGGTTGCATATCCACTAAGCTTCACAAGCGTTTATGTAGGCTGATAGCGCCCATGGAACGAAGTTGCAACTAAACGGCATCACTTGAAATATTGTATGAAAATAAAATAATTAGCAACAAAAGGTTAACAAGTTAACAAGTACTTAATTAAACGACTCCACTGGGGATCGAACCCAGAATCTCTGGTTCCGTAGACCAGCGCCTTATCCGTTGGGCCATGGAGTCACATGTTGGTAACCCCTAGAGTTTTTCCTACTAGGAGGTTTAAATTTTTACCATAAGGGTTTTTGGAAGATATTTTTTTCTAAAACCCTAGGCTATGGCGAGCCAGGTCCTGTTGGGAGCGCCAAGCTTGGCGCCGTCGACCGCATTCCCTGCCTCCCGGCCGGGGAAGAGCCCCGCGGCATTGCGCAAGAGCGTGCTAGGGTCTCCAGCTCCGGCGCCATCGCCAGCACCAGTTCGTCTCTTCGCGAATCCGAGGTATGGAACCAGATGCTGCTCATACAGCGCTGATAGCAGCGCCTCGAGCGGTGGTGGGGGTTTTGGAGCTGGTTCTAACCCCGGCTATGGCGGCGGCGTGAGCAACAACAACAACATCTGGATTAATCCCAATGCCACCGAGGAGGACAAGAAGAACTTCGTCTACAGCACGGGGAGCTCTTCTATCGACAAAAGGATTGGGAAGACATGGGCGAATCCAAGCGCTGGTGGCGTAGATAACCCCGGTGGGGGCTATGGTAGCTCTGTGGCTCCTCCTGGCGGTGGCGCTGATTATTCTGGCCAGAAAGGGGCTGCTTCTAGTGGAGAAGCTGATGCGAATGCTCTATCCGGTGGAGGATCTACTGGAAGCGCTGCTGCTTCTGGTGGACTTGGTGGTGCTCCTGCTACTACTTTTGATGCGGCTGCTTCTCCGGCTACTCCATCGACCACTGGTTATACTGGAGGCGCTGGTGCTCCTGCGGGTGGCTATGGTGTGAGCTCGTCGACGGGCTATGGCGGTGGCTATGGCGCGAGTGGAGCTTCTTCTACTGGCTATGGAGCTGGAACGTCCTCGACTGGTTATGGTGCTGGAACGACGCCCTCGACCGGATATGGTGCTGGAACGTCCTCGACTGGCTATGGTGCTGGAACGACGCCCTCGACGGGCTATGGTGCTGGAACGTCCTCGACTGGCTATGGTGCTGGAACGACGCCCTCGACGGGGTATGGTGCTGGAACGTCCTCGACTGGTTATGGTGCTGGAACGACGCCCTCGACTGGATATGGTGCTGGAACGTCCTCGACTACCGGAGGCTATGGTGGAAACCCATCAACAGGCTATAGCTCGCCTGGGTCGACCGGATACGGAACTTCTTCTGCGTCCACCGGCTATGGAAGCTTTGGCGGAACGTCCCCGGCATCGACTGGCTATGGGACTGGCACAACCCCGAGCTCCACGACCGGTTATGGAACGTCGACTGGTTTTGGAGACGCGTCCACTGGCTACGGTGGAGGAAACTCATCCACCTCGACTGGCTATGGTCAAAACTCTTCGACGGGCTTTGGTGATGGTCAAAACTCTTCGACCGGCTTTGGTGGAAGTTCTACTAGTTCTGGCACGGGTTACGGTGGAGGTGGTTCCTCGACTGGATATGGAAGCTCGGGAAATTCTTGGGGTGGAAATGCTTCAACCGGATATGGTGGAAGCTCGTCAGCAGGGAGTACCTTCGGTGGGGGCTACGGTGGGAACTCCTCGACTGGAAGCGGATTTGGCGGCTCCACAAATTTTGGAGAAAGTTCTTCGACTGGAAGCGGCTTTGGTGGCTCCACTGGTTTCGGTGGGACTTCTTCGGGTGGCTTTGGTGACAATTCTTCAACTGGAAGTGGCTTTGGCGGTGGTTTCGGTGGAAACTCTTCGACGGGCTTTGGTGGGAGCTCAACCGGCTATGGTAGCTCCAACGGCTTTGGCGGGAGCTCCTTTGGTGGCGGAAGCTCATTCGGCAGGAGCTCGCCTGGCTTCACGCCCAGATACCACAGCAACCCGACGACGCCCAACGCAAGCACTGACTTTGGGTGGAGGAAGGGGATGAGCACCGCTCCAACGCCGCCACCGCCGCCGCCATCCACAGAGCCGGACAGCTCTACGACGCCATTCTCGGCTACAAGTTTCCTCGGGGGAAATCCTGGAGCTTCCTCGCCCGGATACGGGACCACGCCTAGCTCTTCGTATCCGGGAGGCTCCACAGGAAGCTCGTTTGGCTCCACAGCGACGGGAGGCTACCAAGGAAACTCTACGGGCTTTGGGTCCTCGACGAGTGGCGGCTACCAAACGAGCAGCACTCCAGACTTTGGATCCTCGACAACGCCGTCGTGGAACAGCGCACCATCTTCGAGTCCGAGCACGGGGTGGAACAGTGCACCGTCTTCGAACCCAAGCACGGCGTGGAACAGTGCACCATCTTCGAGTCCGAGCACGGGGTGGAACAGTGCACCGTCTTCGAGCCCCAGCACGGCGTGGAACAGTGCACCATCTTCGAGCCCGAGCACGGGGTGGAACAGTGCACCATCTTCAAGCCCGAGCACGGAGTGGAACAGCGCACCATCTTCCAGCCCGAGCACGGGATATGGGAGCAGCGCACCATCTTCAAGCCCGAGCACGGGATATGGGAGTGAGAGCGCTGCTGCAACTAGCTCGCAGGCGGCAGCCCCTGGAGCGGCTTCAAGTTTTGAATCAGGTATATAGTCTTTGAGTATGATTTGGTTTCTAAGATTGAATACAATGTTGTTGACGCTGGTAATCGCAGCAGAGAGTTCTGGATCTAGTGCGGGACCGTCAGTCTCCGCGAGTGGCTCTGGTGTTGAAGCGGCAGCTTCAGTAGGATCTAGTAGTTCGTCAGCTGGCGAGCCGACGCTGGTAGCATCATCGTCAACTTCGCCAGCTTTAACGGGATCATCACCATCAACACCGGCCTCTGGCGAATCCACCCTAGCGTCGTCGTTGTCTGGATCGGCTACTCCAACCGCTTCGACTGGAGGCCAAACTTCGAGCTCGTCCCCTCAGACTGTATCAAGCTCGGCTCTACCTGGCACTGGAACTGGATATGGCACGAGCTACTTGGGTGGAGACGTCGGCACGCCTGCGAGTTCTTATGGCTTTGGCGCTCCACCAGCACCACCAAGCTCTCAAACGCCACCAAATCCTTCTCCATCGCCATCGCCATCGCCAGCAAATCCTTACGCGTCTTCCTCTTCTCCTCCCCCGTCGTCGCAATCTCCAGCAACCAGGAGCTCTTTTGCTGGTTCATCCAGAGGAGGAGGAGCTGCTGCTGGAAACAGGATCAACAAGGGACCAATGCCCGAGTTCAAGCTTCCAGACGGCACGAACAAGTGGACGTCGGTGGACGAGATGAGGCGGCACTACTTCCCAAACTGCGATAACGAGCCGCCGCCACGCAGGACTTACAAGACCCCCGACCCCAGCGCGGGTGGATTCGTCATCCCCGACGGCTCCAGGAAGTGGAACTCGATCGACGAGATGCGGCGGCACTACTTCCCAAACGAGGATTTCTCCACGCCGCCAAAGAGAACGTACAAGGCCCCGGATCCAAAGGCTGGCGGCTTTGTTCTTCCCGACGGCTCTCGCAAGTGGAACTCGATTGACGAGATGAGGAGGCACTACTTCCCGGACGAGGACTTCTCCAAGCCTCCCAAGCCCTTTGGATCCACGGGAAAGAGTGACAAGTGATCGACAAAGCTTGCCATTGCCACCTTTTCGTCTGAAAACTATTCTATATATCCAAACCTTTATGGAGGTAAGACCCGACTATAAAATCTATATTAGCAAGGTTTAATCTTAACCATTAAAACATAATCTTCTCACACACTAACAAGTTAAGGTGTTTAAAAGCTATTTTGTTTTTTTAATTTTTATTTTTCATGTGTTGCAGTTCATTGGACTGAATGGAGAAGGTCATCTTCCTACAAAGTTCTTTTCGATTGTTTGTCATGTTTTTCTTTCAATACTGTGCTGGATCTTCAATACAAAAGATCCTCTACTGGAAGATCAGATGAAGGTAGGATCAGTTTTGTTCTTATTTCTAAGGTCTTGGTGTCGAAACTATGAACGAAAGGACTGGAAATTCTATCGAATTACTATCAAAACTCTCTTCTCGAGAGCACATTCTACGCACGCTTAGCTGCCACTTGCGCCTTTGATCAAATGATATATTTTTAAGTGGCAACCTTCATAGCAATTGTATGGACATTCAGCTACGAAACAAACGCCAGCAGCACGGAAAAATTTCGCCGGACCTTCGTCTTTTACACCCGTCTAGGCTGATCATCCATTCCTGGATCTCCGCAACTAGAAAAGGGTTTAAAGCCTAGCATTGCAATGCATTAAATGACGAGCGAAAAGAAGGAAGAGCACACGAACCTTAAGCATTTACATCCAATGCTTGAAACCTTTTATCGGCTGCCTCGAACCATGCCTTTCTTGCAGACCCATCGAACAGGACGAAATGTATCTATGCAAAACAAGACGTCTCCACATATGGCTCAAAGATAAAACACAAGCAAACGTACTTCTTCAAAGTCGGCAGCGTTTGCATGCACGGCATCCAAAGCAATCGCGGCACCCTCGTCCACAGGGCACCTAAGCAGAGAAAATACGAGCAGTTTCCAAAAGAAAGAAAAACGAAAGGCCAGAGACTAACAAACTTACCCGTAGATTCCACACGAGATGGCAGGAAATGCGATGAACTTGACGCCTTTCTCCCTCGCAAGCTCGAGTGAGTTGCTGCGAAGAGGAAGATTAGAAACAAGGAAACAAATCAGAAACTAGAGACATGTACCGGTATGCATCTCGTAGCAGAGCAGCTGCCTTTACTCTGGATGATTTGAAATACATTGGCCCAACCGTGTGGATGATCCGCGCAACCGGCAGCAAAAAGCCTCTGCAACCAAAGAACAAAAGATTTGTCTAAGAAAAAGAATCTACACACGAACACTTACGGTGTTTCCACGGCATGTCCGACTGGGCAGCGCACTCCCGGCTCCACTAGTGGCAATTCCCGGCAGGCATCGCGAAGTTCCGGCCCAGCCGCGTCATGAATAGCTGCAAAAACGCAATGCACGTAAGTGAGATCTCGCGAAAGCTCCGGAACAAGTTATTCAAATCTAGCCAAATCCGAGTCTATAAGTTTTGATCACACCAACAAACACAAAGTTCCAAGGTTGGGAGAGATTCGCAATGCAAGAAGACCACACAAAGAAGAGAAAAAAGTTCTCAAGAAAAAAATGTAATAGCCATCCAGGAAAAAGAAAGAAAAAAAAAAAAAAACCACGATATCGATCCAATCGGGGCCTGCATTTCTCAAAGGAAAAAATGTAACAGCCATCCAAGGAAAAAAAAAAAAAAAAACCATTCCCGCGATATCAATCCAACCAGCATGCATCCAAGAAGAAAACGAGGCAAACGATGCGATCGATCCAAAATGCCATGGAAAAATCCCAAAGCCAACCAAGCAAGAATGCTCCCAGAAAACCCCCAATCACGCGAGAAGAAGAACAAGAACCTAGATGATCAAGGATCGCGTTGCTTACCTCCATCCACGCCGCCGCCGCCGAGCATCCGCTCGTTAGCCGCATTGACGATCGCATCGCTGTGACCATCCTTGCGCCAGATCGTGATATCGCCGCCCTGGAGAACCAGCTTGCAAGATTCCGTGAGCTTGTACGCCGCCGCCGACGCCGCCGCCTCATCTCTGGGACGAGGGATCTTCTTGCACGAAATAAACCGATCGAACAGCGCGAACGCCTTCTTCTTCCTGCCCGCCATAGCTTCTTCTTCTTCCTCCTCCTCTCTCCTCCTTTTCGAGAAAAAAGAAGAGGGTTTTGCCTCCAGCCAAGATTGGCTCTCTCTCGAATCGGGGAGAGAGATCGCCCGCGATCGCACATTCCATGTCAGGTAGGGAGAAGATCCCGGATAACCGCTGCCGGCATCTCCTCCTTGCGAGGCCTCCAATCTCGCCACGAAATTTCTAGCTCCAGAGCCACCGCTGAAAGGATTCATGATGTTCGATCGCAAGGACGCGTCACGACTCCACGATCTTGGCTTCGCCGGGCCCGATTCCAGCTGCTCTTCCACTCGGATTTCCTTCTTCTTCCCTGGATTTCCATCGGCGACGGCATCTGGCCGCGCCTCCCGATCGCTGGCGCTGCTCTTTGTCGGCCGCCAATCTTTGTCTAGAATCTCCCAGCGCTGGCGCCAGTGCTGCTCGTCCCTGTCGATCTTGCCATTCCCGCCCGAGAACCCTCGATCGCGCGGCAACTTGCCGGAGACGACCCTATCCCTCGTCGCGGCATTTGCGTGCCCCGGCAGCGGCATTTCTCTCTCTCGCGGCATCGCCTCGATTTCGTCCTCCGAAGACGATGGATCAGGGAGGAGATCGAGAATGACGGGATCCATCCGGAGCTCCTCGTCTTCTTCGTCGCTCGATTGACCATCGCTAGTACCTGGATTACCTTCTTCCTCTTCGTCTCCTTTTTCCTCTTCCTCTTCTTCTTCTTCTTCGCTTCCTTGTTCTTCGCCTTCTTCTCCCTCCTCCTCTTCGTCGTCTTCTTCCTCTTCTTCGCTGCCTTGTTCTTGCGCTTCTTTCTCTTCCTCCCTAGCGATTTCTACCCCGCGATCATCGCCGCAAGCCTCATCGCGCAGAAAGTAGGCCGCGGCGACTAGAAAAGCGTGCTCCTTTCGTCCGATCACCTCGTCCGCCATGGAATGACCACCTAGGGCATTTCTTAACAATGGACAGCCTACGTTATAATTTGTAAGGCTTCTTAGGGTAAACCCATTATAAAGTATCACTTCCATTTGGCAGGCTTGGACAAACGTCCCACTGGCTGGGGCTGGTGTTTTAAGAGTCTTCAAAGAGATGGAATCAGAGTTATCCATATTGAAAACTGCAAGAGAGCAGTGTGACAAGCTTTTTGTTCTTAGAAGAACTTCTCAGTAGATCCAACCTGAGATTGCAAGCAAAAAATTGAGCTCAACACGTCAATGTAATCAAAATAAGTCAATGAAAAGCCAATAAAAATCAAAGAAAGCCTATACCCCATAAACTCATGAAGGAGCAAACTCATAATCAAATAGAGCAAAGGATTATGAGATCCCAAGAATCTCACAGTTGGAGAATAAAAGTGGGAAGCAGGGGAGTGAAGATTAAGTTAGGCCTCACACCACTCTTTAGGGATTCTATATTTAACAATGTTTTTTGGAGTGTGCTTTAGAGTATGAGAGTATTTTGTTGCTTACAAGCATCTTGAGTGGCTTAGATTGAAGTGCATTTATGGAAGTAGGTTCTTTTATTTGAATAATAAATGTGTTTCTATTGATGTTGGAGTGTGATCTGGAGGCATCTGCAATGTGCTGTGAGGCTGGGTCACATGTGCACACTTGTTTTGCAGGCTGCCACTAGCAAGAAGAGAGCAACCAAGTTGTATTAGTGAGAGATCAAGAAAATATTGCCAAGCTAATGTGTTGGATATTGCATGCTATATGGCTTGAGTGACAAGTTTGTTCATCACACCTTTTTCACATGCAGATGATTTCTCTAACACCAAGAGAGAATTAGCTTCTGGAGTGTAGGTTTCTTTTGTTGATCTCTAAACTAATACTATTGTGATATCTTCTTGAAGAGTTGAATGTAGGAAGATGGCCAAAGGTGGATCTTGTTTAGGACCAAGTGAACCCTCTACAAAGCATGAGAAGCAATGTTAGGTTGGCCTTTCTGAGTAGTGTGCCTAATAAAAAACACCAGTGGCCAAGGGAAAAGGTGCCCAAGAGGGTGGTGCAAGTATGCTTGGAGTTTGAGAGCAAGCAGAACAAGCCCAAGATTAAGAAAAGGGGATGGAGCAAGCTTTCCCTAAGCAAGAGATTCTGTAGGAGGATCATGACTAGCACAGGCCTAAGCCTGGATGGTAAGGTAGCAGTGACCAATCTTTTAGAGGTGATTTCATGTCTTTATACCAAAGAAGACCTTTTGGATGTGGATATGGAGGATTCTCATTATTCTTTAGAAGAGCTTAAGGTTAGCATGGCACTTTCAGCATATCTAAGGTTCCTTTTAGCTGTGCCACTAAATCTCCATAGAATGGTGCCTCTCATGCAAAATCTATGAGTGTCAGTGGATTCCCACAGTTTGGCCAAGAATCTTTGTGATCCTTGCCATAGAGTAATCCAACAAGTTGAAGAAGTGAGGAAGAGCAAGGTGGATATTGTCCAAAATTAACACATAGTGGTTTTGGAGTTGCTAGAAATACAATGTTGATATGGAAGAAGAGAAAATGTTTTTGGGGTATCCCGAGGCAATAATAGAAGAACCAATGCCATGGTCAAGTTGACAGAAGACTATATAGATATTTATCTTGGACTCTATCTCAGACTCCATCTCGGGTCCATCTTAGACTTTATCTCGGGTTCATCTCAGACTCCATCTCATACTCCATCTCATACTCCATCTTGAACTCCATCTTCAATTGCATTTCGGATCCATCTTGGACTTCATCTCGGATCTATCTCAAATCCATCTCAGACTCCACTTCGGGTCCATCTCGGACTCCATCTCGGGTCCATTTCAGATTTCATCTTGAACTTCATCTTCAACTCCATCTTGGGCCATCTCATACTCTTCCATGTGTCATGTGTTGGTCCTTTTATGTCCCTTTTCTAGAGACTCACTTATTACTTGCTTTGTGTTTATTTCTCGAACACTTCATTGGGAGTTCCACTCCCACTCTTGACTTTTCAAGTAAGAGCTTTTAGTCTAAATGTGTTACTCTTGTTTGGCTTCTATTTTGGCCACTACCACGTGGCACCCTTTCGGCTCCACTTTTGGGGCTCTAGGATTTGTGTTTCACATATTGCAATTGTGCTCAAGACTTTTGTTGGACTACAAAGTTGGACTAAGGGTGTAGAAGTTGTGATTGATTTCTTGGTGGTTGAGTTGTCAGGGCACCTTAGGACAATGACTACCTCATCCTTGGTTGCACTTGGCATAAGGTAGTGGATTGTGAAACA